ACTAAGGTTCTGAGAGGGGCCGTGGTTCACTGATACTGCAGGTGTGGGTCTCACCCCACCACCAGCCCTCTTTGCTTATCGAAAGAGTGTGGCCTGTGCATTGCCTGGGCCTTGTTGCCCTGGCCAGCCAGTGTGCTCTGTTGACAAGAGTGGGCTCCAGCAGTAGAGGTCAAGGAGGACGGGTGGTCTGTCCTTTGTTGGCCTTGAAAGTTGGGGGCCTATCCCGATCATAGGTGTTTGTATCAGCTGAGGCCCTGCTCCCTTGTTCACCCCTCCTGTGCTTGCAGTGCGCGTCCTGATTCTTGCCTGGCCCAGTTCCCCAAAGCCCATTACTGCTAGCTCTCTGCAGTTTCTTTTTCCAGCTCTGAGCATGACCCTTTGAAGTTTTCGTGAATGGTGGATGGAAAAAAACGGCTTTGATTTAATAAGCTCTGTCCTCCCCCACACACATCATAATGTGAGATTCCCCCATCCAGGGTCATGGCAGATGCGAGAAAGGTATAGGGCTTTGCAGAAGTGGAAGAAGTGACTGAAAATGAATGTATTGATCAACCCTCAGTGAAGCTGCCTTGCCCGGCCTCTGCAGAGACATTGGCAGCAGCTAAGTGCTTCTCCATTCTCTCAGAGTGAACAACCTGGTGGGGGCGGAGGGAGGAAGAGGGGAGGAAGAGGAAGAAAACAGGCCTTCCCCACTTCCACCTGGGCCTGGTGGAGGAGAGAGGAGCTGCTGCTGTAGCAGGAGGAAGTGTGGTTAGACTCCCGCTGCACCGCATAGCGAAGTGGCTCGAGAGCCTGGGGCTGGGCCATCGAGGAGGGCCTGAGAGTGGGACTCCTGGGAATTCTCCAGAAGGAGAGAGGATAACCTCTCCTTGGCTGGGAGGTGGTGCACTGGGCTCCTGGACCGCCCAGAGTGATGTTGTTGAGAGGGGCAAGGAACCTTGGACTGGCTCCTTCTCACCCTCTCTCCTCTTTTATTCAAGTTTAAGTGATTATGGGTATAGTTGGCATAAAGTCTGCTGTGTTTGTAATTGTTTTTTATTCACTGTATTTGTTATTCCTTTTCTCCTTCCTTTTTTTCCCTTTCTGATTTTAAATGACCATTTTGTATGTAATTGTGTGCGGTAGTGGGAGCTGAACCCAGTTCCTTCACACTGAGCTACATCCCCAGCCCTTTTCTATTTTTTAGTTTGAGAAAGGATCTTGCTAAATTGCTCAGGGTGGGCTCAAGCTTGCAATCTTCCCCCCTCAGCCTCCCAGAGTGCTGGGAGTACAGGTGTGTGCCATCACACCTGGCTTAACTGAACATTTCATACGGCCTAACTTCCTTGCCCACATATTATCGGATGCCTGCTATGTGCTGGGTATGGTGGTAATGCTAAAAGACCACATGGAACCAGACTTTGTCCTTGTCCTTAGGTATCTGCAGCTGTATCCTTAGGGGGAAAAATAAAGACTTTTTCTGATTTTCCCACTTAAGGAGCAGGAGCAATGAAGTTGGATCCCAGCACAATCCAGGGAGATGCTATCCTCCTTCCCACTGCATGCTGCTTACCTGGGGGGGCCTGGTGTCTCCCGACTTTCCACTGCCTCACGGCCTTTCTTCACCCAGCCATCCTGGGAGCAGTAGTAGCAGTCTTGAGCAAATGCCTGCGGCCAGCGGGGCTCAGCCCCCACAGTGGCCGCTCTTCCCTTCCGTGTGCTGTGTAGGACTGCATGCTGCTAGCCAGGAAGGGGTGCTTTCTGGGTGGGGCCTGGCCTGGGACTTGGTGCCAGTGCCTGTGCCCTGGCAGAGTCAGTTCACATGTGGTAGGATGAAGGGAGAGGACATATTGGGAGGACACCACAAAGAGACAGGAGACTGACTCGCATTTGAGGTAGCGAGAAAGCGCAGACCCTGAGAGAATATGGCTGCGCTCCTTCCAGGCCCCAAGAGCCAAATCTTTCTGGGTTCTGATGCAGCAGGAGGAACTGAATTTAGACTCTTGGGAAGAAGACGGAGAAGTACACGTCATAGAGTGGGGCTCAAGGACGGTGTAGATTCTTTCTTTGGAACGATTTTCAAGGCAGAGAGCTCTCCCTGTCCTCCTCCCACATCCTGCCATCTGTTAAGTCTGTGCCAGAGCAGAGGGCTAGATGCTGTGAGCTGCAGGGAGCCCCGAGAGCCCAGGGCAGTGAGAGCAGAGAACCAGCCAAGCCGTGTGAGGGCAGTTGCCCCTTCAGAGCTGAGCGCCCCACCTTTCAGGCCAGTGAAGAATTGGGTGGGCCCCTCCTCTTGTGACTCTTGTCTCTCCAGTCCTCTCTCTGGGGTCCCAGCCCCAGCCGAACTGATCTGGAAGGCATGAGGAATTTGCACTGGCTGCTGCTGGCTAGGACAGATTACAGTCCCAAAGTGGAAATGGACCTTCAGGCAAGTGCCCAGGACCCTATGGTTCCAGGCAGGCCAACAGATGCTCAGAGGGGAGGTGGGAGAAAGGGTATGGCCCCTCTTTCAGCCTGCACACGGGCCACTGCCCGAGGGAGCGTTCCTGGTGACCTGGAGGGTTTGGCCTTTCTAGGACCCTCTTAGGATCTAGTGTTTGGGCTGAGCAATTTCCCAGACCCCTACCTTCTTCCACCCCAGGCTCAGGCATGTCAGGCCGATGAGGAGGTATGGACTGGCTCTGTAGCAAAATTGGGTTAGGTGTGAGAGCTGGCTGTAAAACAGAAAGGAAGGCCCTGGGACTGGCTTTCCAAAGGGATCCAGAAGTGACTTTTTGTTTATCTATGGTCTTGTATTCTGTTCTTTATCTCTTCAAGAGCTGTTTCCCATGGAGTCAGGGGCATCTTTCCTGGCGAGGACATGGGTATCCGCTGCTGTTATTGCTGAGCATCTAGATAAGCTGATACCACCCCCTCTCCTCTTCCCACTATGCCCAGGACAAAACCCAGGCTGGAAGGATTGTTCCTTGCTCAAAGCCACAAGCTGATAAGGGGGGAGCCACACTTTGTAGTTGGATCTTACTCCACAGTGCACTTCATTCATTCATTCATTAATCTGTTCACTCAACAAATACTCTTTTCTCTTTCCTTTGCATCTTGATCCCCATCTTCCTCTCTGTGGTACATGTGCTGGCGCGTGGAATCCATAGAGGAGGGGGTGGCTTCTGGGGAGCAAACAGGACTGCACACTGGGGAGAGGAGTGTCTCAGGATTCCTCCCTCCCTCTGCTAGTGCAGCTTAGCTCTCCATGGAGGAGGATCTGACACATTCCAGAAGAAGGGAACCATGACCTGCCAGAACTTGCAAAATATCTCCTCTAATCACTGATCCTTCAGATAAGCACCCAGATGCCCCAAAATTGGAAGGGTATCACTCCTGGCAGAGCCTGGACCAGAGGTGGAGACTCCTGACTCCCACCACCATGAGGTATTCTAAGAGGACCACCCTCCTCTGGGTCCCTGACATCAGTAATGCGGCTCCCCTCTGCTCCCTCTCACAGCCTGGGAAATCCTGGGAAATTCTGCGTCTTTCTGGCTTCCTCCTGCCCTGCTCATCCCCCCTGTACCCTGGTCCCAGCAGGGAGGAAGGAGTGTCTCCTGCCTCTCCTAAGGGACCACTGTCTGCAGAGGTCAGAGAGGCCTGTGGGAAACTGAATGATCTGGTCAGCTCGCCCCTCCCAATATCAAGCCTTTCCACTGTGCTGGAAAAGGAATTTCCCCCCTTTACCAGCATGGTCATCTCAGGGAGGCTCCATTGTACCAGCTGTTCACAGGTCACTAAGTCTCTGTGCAGGTGGGGTGGGTTTTTTCTGCCGCACTGGATGAGTCAGAAACAGTCACCCCAGGCAGGTGAGGCCATTGGCCTCCATCCTTCCACTGTCCCAGCCTCACTCTGAGAACCAGAGAGAACCAAATCTCAGAGTGGAAAGAGACTGAGTGCTGGGGCCTGGGTCCAGTGCTATAAAATTACTGTCCAGGTCAGATGCCCTGTTCCCCAAGAGTCACTCCCCGTACGGGTGGGATATGGCACTGTACCGGTGGCCTTGGGGGTGGGAGTACATGGCTGCATCTCAGAGGCACCTAGGGAATTGTTCCAAAGAGCAAAGCCTGGGTTACTGGACTGCAGGAACATTCTGATACACCCTGGGCCCTGGGCTCGGGAGAGAATGGGGTCCTTGGAAAATGTGCTTTGCTCAAACCTGAGACCCCTCTCCCTAGACTCCACCCCTGGGAGCCCCCTCTGGATCTGGACCACTGATCAAACCCAAACTCACCTTTGTAGAGATGGCAGAACACACCGCAGGAGCAGAGAGGCTTTATCACAAAGCACGCAGACCATGGCCCAACTTGGAAAGTCAGTTATTTGTGGGACCTTTGAGTCTGAGGGGTTTGCTGGCTGCTGCTGGAAACTTTGGTCTTGTCTACTGCGGCTGTGCTGCTCTCTCCTGAGAGGAGGGCAGCTCCCTGTGTGCTTGGGGCAGGGCCTGTGCTTCTTTTTTACCTACAGTGCCCAGAGCGGGGCTGCAAATCTGAAGGAGGGAGGTTGCCTAGAATAGAGGCCCATTTAGGAATCACACACCCGAACTTAATTGTCTTTTCCACCAGGCTGTGGCATTATTTGTCCTCAGCAAGTGACCGAGAGCTATTTCCAAGGCCCATTACACTAATGACCTAATCAGTTTATCCAGCTCTCTTCTTCCAAGGAGCTCAGAGGGGCCCCTCCTCTCCAGCCCCCAGCCGACCCTGGGGAGCTGGCCTGACTTCTTTTCTAGGGACTGGTGAACACCGGTGTTTGAGATGGTGGGTGACGTCGCAGGACTCCAAGGGAGCAGGATTCTGAGGCCCTAGACATCCTGGCCCCTCCCCAGGGCCGGGAACCAGACTCCCTTGGGCAATGTTACTATTAAACATTTGGCCCCTGAAGTGGAGAGCCTTTGATTGTATCTGGCTTCCTGTTCTCCTTTGGGAGGAAGAATTTCTCTGCAGGAAGTAGTTTAATAGTCTGAAAGCTTTACTTCCCCGTCTTGAGATTCATGTTTCCAGTCACAAGTGGCTGAGATGCTTGATAAGAAGGGAGGCAAGAGGGAGGGGACAGAGCTGTGAAATACGGCTCCCTCTCCAGCAAGGCACGGAAGAGAAGATGGAGGAGGCGGTCCCCGACTTCCAGACTGCAGCACTGCAGACAGACACTGGGTCTCGGCCCCTTGTCTCGGCCCTGCCCAACCCTTGTCTCCCCGTCCTTGGGCCCAGTGCTGGGTGAGGAGCGCGTGGCAGAAAGCAGGGGCAGCCAGGCCTGAGGACCCTGCCCTGTCTCATCCCTGCCCTCATACAGACCACAGCACCCTTTCCCACAGCCACCACGCGGCCTCTCTCTCTCTGATTCACTGTGAGTCTGGGACTGGCTGCTGGCTCCCAGCTCACTCCCACCGCTGAGTGAGAGTCTTTGGGATGTCTGGGCTCAGTTCTTCCTGCTCACCCCGAACTGCTGAGGTCAAACCCGGGGCACAGAGACTCACAACTGAGGGCCTTCAATGCCAGGCACTGGCCACACAGGGCATGGAGTGCTGAGACACCAACAGGAGGCAGTGAGAGTAGCAAGACCAGTGAGCCACTGCCAGGCCTGAGGACCAAGGGAGGAGACTGTCTCTAGAGCCTAGGGGCTGCAGTTGGCTGGTGGTAGCTGGACCCATGGTGAGTGTGTCTGGAGGGAGGTCCAGCCAAGAAACAGATAACTGTGGCCCAGATGGACTGGGACAGAGGGAAGAGTGCCTTTCTCCATTGTTCTGCGTTCCTTCAACGCTTCCATTTTCCCATGGACCCAGCTGACCCGCAGGAGCCGAGAGACTTTATCACAAAGCACACACACCGTGGCTCAGCTTGGAGTCAGTTATCTATGGGACCTTTGAGTCCCACAGTTCTGGGGCTTAGGAAATGCAGCCAGCGGGGGCCACCCCTTGCTAACACAGAGTGGGGCAGAGCTAGGAAGAAAAGCCAAGAACAGACAACTCCAAGACCAGCATGCTCCATTCTTGTTCTTGCAGCGACGATAACACCTCTCCCCTTCCTCTGAGTGGCTGTTTTGGTCCATCAAACAGAATTCTTTAGGGCTATCTTGTAGGCAGAGAGGGACCACTGCTCTGTGCACAGGAAGTGATCTCATCTGTGAAAGGGGACAGTTCATGAAGCAAAGGACCGTTGAGGAGCTCAACACTCTTAGATTCCTGCTGGGATTCAGCAGGGCGTGGAGATTCCACTTCTCTAGACCGCGGGTGGGAAGACTACAGAGCCCAGCTCTGGCCAGGGGAGCCTCTGCTGGTCTCCCCATGTGCAGGGCCAATGCTGGGCTCAGAGCTGCCATGCACACGCTAGTAACTGGCTGGTGGCCTGGTACCACTTGCTCATCAGAGGCCCTTACCACTGCAGACTTATTTTACAGGACCTACTCAGGGAACCATAGCTGTCTGATTCAGCAGCAGGTACCCTGCAGCTGCCATACAGTGGGGGCATGAACCAGGGAATGGTGTCCTTATCAGGGCTCTGTGATTACCTCCACAGCTGGGGCCAGGCCTTTTTCACTGACCATCTCTAACTGAGCACCTGCCATTCCATCTCTATCTCTGGCTCCCTGAGCTGGGTCACGTGGTAGTCTCTCAGTCAATCATTTCTGAATATATGGATGTATACATTTGTTAATCCATTTTTATGTGTAATTATTCATTCAACAGATAGTTACTGAGGAGTCTTCCTAGGTAACTGGAAGCAGTGCCGCGCATGCAAAATTGAGGCTCTGTCATGATGGAGCTTTGTACATTCTCCTGGAGAGAAACAAATACATCAGCACCCAGCTACAGAGCCAGAAAGTGAGATCACCTCTATCAGGAAAATTTAAAATGGCAAGAGGCTGTTGGGTGGCAGGGACTATTTGTCTGGAATCTTCTCTGAGGAGGTGACATCTGCCCTGAGACCTAAATAAGGAGAGAATGAGCATCTTGGGACATGAACAGGAAGTGCAAAGGCCCTGAGGTGGTGGGTGGCCCGGATGTGTGCCCAAAGACGAGTCTCTACTGGAGGTGTCTCATTCCCAGGTGGATAGTGGGGTTCAGTACAAGGGGAGAGGAGGTGATGGAGATTTAGGAGACAGTACCACCCCTCAGTCTGTCATCAGTACCATCCCTCGCGCTGTCCTTCCATCACCCAGACAGCAAAACTTAGCAGCAGGTCTTGTTCACCCCCTTCCAAATATACCCCAAAGCCACGTCCTTCCATTCAGTCCCACTCCTGCTTCCTGGAGCTCCGCCTCCCCTCCCACCTAGATGGTAAAATGCCCCACTTTGGCTTTCTCGTTGCCACTCATGCCCTGCCATTACACACTCTCCACACCGCACCTTGAGTTAGCTTTTAGAAGCAGAGATTGAGTTCTGTTGTTCTTCTGCTGTAAATAGCTTCCCTCTGCACTTAGAATAAACCCCAGAATCTTTACTGTGGCCCCCTCCACCTGAGGCGACTGTCCTTGCCCAGGGGTCTGATGGACGTGCCCCTCTTGCCCCTATTCTTGAGGCTGTCTGTTCCTCGGCCCCTGCACCTCCACCAAGGAGACCCCTGTACCTTCTCCAGGGAGGCCCTGCCCCCCCATCTCCGCCGGGCTGGCTCCGCGTGGTCCCTCAGCTCTCGGCTCCTCAGAGCTGCTCTCAGCTCCCCTGCTTGCCCCCGACCTCAAGCCAGCAGCCCACGCTGCCCCTCGCTGGCTCTCACAGTGCCCTGCCTGCTTTCCGGATGGGGCTTTTCACTCTGCAAAGCTCTGCTGGGCTTGTTTGCTTCTGAGTAGTGCTTTCCTGAGTGCCTGCCTGCCCTCTGTGTTCCCAAACCCTACACCTGGTCCCTCGGCCTGCAGGGTACAGGCTTAATGAATGAAGGGAAGAGAGCCTCAGCTGCCTGGTCCACCCCAGCGGGACGAGACAGCTGGCCAAATGCCTGGGCGGTGTGTGCACCCGAACAGGCCACTCAGATGGCGCACAGAGGGCAGACTCAGAGGAGGGAGACTCCAGGCGCTGCGCAATCCAGGGAGGGTTCCTGGAGCTCCCTTCCTGTGTGGGGGTCTGCAGCACGCGACCTCCACCTCCCAGAGTGGCAGAGACGGTCCGCTAGGTGCTCTGGAGGTGGGGCCACCTCAGTCTTAGGAATTCCATCTTGGCTGCTTTCTGGCTGAGTGGCCTTGGACGTGCTTCCTAATCTCTGATCGTCAGTTACTGCACCTAGGAAGTGGGGGTAATAATAGTGCCTGGCTCAGAGGGTTCAAAGTCCGAGCCCGGCACAGAATGCAGCAATAAATGTTAGCCCTTATCACCACTGTCGTTATTGTGGATCGGTTAACTAGTATTTCTGAGTTTCCTCCCTCACTTAGCTGCAGAATCTCCTTCTTGTGTGGCAGCCCGGCGGGGCGTCCAGGGTAGAAGCCATGGCTTCCTCTGCCCTGTTCTCTGCGGATGCAGATTTGGGGGCCTCCTTCTCTCATCACTGAGAGACTCAACAGTAGCTCCCTTCTGTGTCTTTCCCCAGCGATCCCTCTCCCTCTCAGGGTGCCTGCCACCCCGTTGCCTCAGGCACGTACCCAGTCTTTTTACCTTGTCATCATCAGTAAGATGGTACCCATTAATTGATCCTTTGGAGTTAGCGTTACGTTGGCTTTTAGAAATACCACCCCCAGAAGCAGCTCTTAACGCAAAGGTGAGATGCTCTGTACCGGGCAGAAGACTTTGGAGGTGGTGGGCACACCCCACCTCCTTCAGCTGTATCTCTAAGGAACTGTCTGTCCTGCTCACCTGTGGACCAGCCCCATTTGGTGTGTCCCTGTCCCCACTGTCTGTGACTACACACTCCTGAAAGTGGCCAATGCTCTGTCTAGTTCTCACACAGCTCCCTCGGGCAGGGGGCAATTGGGAGGGACATCTTCTAGCATTAGAGAAACCTTCCATACCCCTTCCCCACGGGCACCTCTGCTCCACTTTCCCACGTGTAGAAGAGGTGAATGTCTCTGGGCCCTGTGAGAGCCGGCCCCACCACAGCCAAGGTCCTGGACCCTGCCCTTTCCCACCAAGGAGAAAATAGCAAGAAAAACAGATGAGACAGATACCCTGTGCACAGGGTCGGCCAGGACCCAATCCTGGAAAAGCCCCAGGAACGCTTTAACCCTGGGGCTCTGGGCGGGCAGGAAGGGTGGGAGATGGAGGGGATTGAGAGATGGAGCACCTCTCCAGCTAGCAGTAGCCGCTGCCCTCTCTCCCATCTGAGACACTGGCAGTGCCCATCTCACCTCCCTCAGTAGGTCATCACTGCCCAGATGGGGGTCTTGGGTTAGACTCCAGTCCTCAGGGCACCAGAGGTCACCTGATGCACACCTGTCTCTGGCTGGCACCCTCTTTGAGCAGGGTCTAGCAGGTTCCATTTTAAAGCAGCTGCCTGGGTATCCTGAGACTTCCCATCATCAACATCTAAACCCCATATAGTCAGCCAGGGCCCAGAAGGAGAGCTAGACTGGAGTCAGGAGTCCTGGGCCAGCAGAATTTTGGGATTTCTCTCTCTCCCCACAGCGCAGTTATGGGGCCCACCTGAGACTGACTGTGAAAAACCTTTGTAAGTGACAGATGTGATAGAAATGATAAATGGGGGTGTTGGGGATTTAGCTCAGTGGCAGAGTGCCTGCCTGGCAAGCGCAAGGTCGTGAGTTTGATTCCCAGTACCAGAAAAAAAACAAAACAAACAAAAAAAGAAATGATAAATGGAATGGGACTAGGATATCTGTGCGTTGCAGCTTCCCGTTGCAGCTACAGCCCAGCCTCCTTTGGTTGCTACCTTAGGGACCTGGCCCAGCCTTCGCTGGGTGATGGCCGAGACAGTGTCCCACAGAATGACATACGTGCCTTTGGTCTTTCCCCAAAGACTTGTGCCCAGACCTTCTTACACCGTATTTGTTGGGCATGGGGGTAGGAAGACACTCTAAGACCACAGGAGCCAGACCTGAGCAAGATGTTTTAACAGCATTCAGGCCATGTTTGCTGAGCACCATGGGACCTTGGAGTTGTTCCAGGTATGTGTTTGTCTAGGAGCTCAGAAGGGCGAGAGCTTACGCTAAGGAGTCTTGGCAGGGTGTTTGCAGAGCATTTGCACATATTATCTTTTTCGATCCTTGTCCTCCGAAGTAGGTCTCATTTTACAGAGGAGGAGTTGAGCTTGTATGCTGCAGACCTGGGGCCCACATTCGGGTCTTCCACCTTCCAGCCTGTGCCCCAGGCCTGGCAGCCGTTCTCCTGGGAATACAAGGAGAGGGGTGAGCTTTCATAACAGTGGAGGAGCAGGGCTCAAGTGAATGGGTCAGCTGCATCCTCTTGTGACCACAGAGTAGAGAGTGTGGAGTAGCAGCATCCAAGGCCCTCACTTCCTCCTTTGGAATGGCAAAGAGGAGTGATACGAGGTTCCAAAAGTCCCTTCTCATGCCTGTCTTCTAGAAGGTGCAGGAAGGAGGTGTCTAGCTTCTCCGTCCATGCTGCCCCTCTTTCTGTCCCCGTAGCCTGCACAGAGCAGGTGACCTTTCATGAATCTGAAGGGGTCTAGAAAAGCTGATGTCTAGCGTAGGAGGGACCTTAAGCTTCGCCACTGAGAAGGAGAAAGCTACAGATTCTGCAGGCTCAGAGCAGGAGAGAATAGAGTCAGAGGCCCCCTTCAACACTCCCAGCCCTCATCTTGCAAGCTGTTTACATGCTCAGAGGGCACCCTGTCCCTCTCAGGAGTGGCCCTGGAAAAATAACAACTGGGCAAGTTGCAGAGCCAGGCTGGCACTCTCTCCAAGGCCAGTGTGTGGGTAGAAGAGACAAGGCTGGCTGTTGGCTGGGTTAGTTTAAAGGGAGGTGGGGAGCGCCCAAAATATCAAAACCCTCAACCTGCGGCCCACGGGCTGCCTCATCTTTTCTGTGTCACCCGAATGTTTTTTATCTTATTTGTGTGTCCTGACATGAAGAAGGTTGGGAAACTCTGTCCCTTGACATCATCCTGCTTGTTTCCTTTGAAGGACATTCACCATCTACTGTCCTATTTATTTCCTTACTTTTGTGTTACTGGTCTCTTCCCCCATAATGTGAGCTACATAGTGGCATGAATCTTTTTTCCTATCCACAGCCTGGACAGCAATGACAAAAAGCACTTGATAAATATTTGCTGAATAATGCACCCACGTCTGCAAGCTTGCGTGAATGAGTGAATGGGTGGAAGTATCTAGTGTATAGCAGATACTCAGTGAACACCAGTTTTAGTTCCTGAGAATCTATAACTTAGCTTAGGGTTGCCGCCTCATGAGGCCCACCCCGTAGGCACGAGCGTGTGTAGTGATCGGGAAGGGATGGGAGGTAAAGATGGAGGTGGGCGATGGGGTGCTGACAGGGGAAAGTAGGACAGGTGAGGGAAGGTTTTGATGACGGTGGAGTCAGCAGGCCCTAGTGTAACAGTGACTTGTTAATCACCTGGCTTCTTGGTGAGCCATATATTAGGAAGCACAGGACAGTACTGTCACCTTCCATGTGACCTTAGATCTTGTGACCACACTCTCCTACTCTCTGGGTCCTTGATGGGGAGGGGGTGTCCTCTAGGAACCTCCCAGAGGCCAGATGAACCTCAGAGGTGCCTTCATGACTGCTGGGTAGCAGCTTCTCATACTCTGCCCTCCTGTCCCACAGGTACAAGACGGTGGTAACCCCACGGAGGGCGGCAGTGGCCATCGCTGGCTGCTGGATTCTCTCCCTTGTGGTGGGCCTGACACCTATGTTTGGCTGGAACAATCTGAGTAAGGTCGAGATGGCATGGGCAGCCAACGGCAGCGTTGGGGAACCTATGATCAAGTGCGAGTTCGAGAAGGTCATCAGCATGGAGTACATGGTCTACTTCAACTTCTTCGTCTGGGTGCTGCCACCACTGCTCCTCATGGTCCTCATCTACCTGGAGGTCTTCTACTTGATTCGAAAGCAGCTCAGCAAAAAGGTGTCAGCCTCCTCTGGTGACCCGCAGAAGTACTACGGGAAGGAGTTGAAGATCGCCAAGTCGCTGGCCCTCATCCTCTTCCTCTTTGCCCTTAGCTGGCTGCCCCTGCACATACTGAACTGTATCACCCTCTTCTGTCCCACCTGCCACAAGCCCACCATCCTCACCTACATTGCCATCTTCCTCACGCACGGCAACTCAGCCATGAACCCCATCGTCTATGCCTTCCGCATCCAGAAGTTCCGGGTGACCTTCCTTAAGATCTGGAGTGACCACTTCCGCTGCCAGCCAGAGCCCCCCATTGATGAGGACCTCCCTGAAGAGAAGGTGGATGACTAGGCTGCATCTGCTCCCTCTAGCCCATGTCTAGCAGGCTTCAGACCAGACCTCACCTCCCCACTGTCCCTCTGGTCTTGCTGGGCCTTCCACAACTGGGCTGTGGCTATGACACGGGGAGGCTCTGAGGAGATGCCCATGGAGCAGGGGCCTGTCCACAAGAAGTTAATGGCCCTGAGTCTTGAGGATCAGGAGCAGGCTTGGGATGGTAGTCCCAGGGGAAAAGAACCAGATAGTATGAGGCAAGAGGAAAGTGTTCTGAGCCCCTGTATCTGCCCTACCATCCCATGTGTGGTCCAGTGATCCAGGGCTGGGCCTGTGCTAGGCAGGACAGCAGAGGAAGCTTTGGGGCTGGGCAAGGATGTTCAGGCCCTTGAAGCCACGTAAGGGAATCTACTGGTGTTGGGAGTTGGTGGTGCAGCCCTGCCTGGGACCCAGCTTCAGGACAGGAGGGGATCCCTCCCAAAATGGAGGGATGGGAGAAATGATGACTTCATCTGGTCTTACTTTCTTTACTGCTCTCTAGAAGGAGGCCAGGAGCAGCTAAAGGGCAGGAATCAAGGAGCATCAGTTGCCAACTTCAAAGATTCTGCATTTTGATGATGACAGGGTCAGGGTGCCTGCTCTCCTAACCCTGGGAAGCCTGGGATTATACTTGAGAGAGGCAGAAGGAGCGGTCTGGAAATCATTTCTCACATTTGCTTTATTCTCCACCAGCCCCTGGATTCCCAGTGGGGCCTCCAAACCCTGGGGAGTGTGGTTTTGTAGCCACTGGCCTCAAGCATCCACCAGGAGGCAGCACCGAACTCTCCTTGCCCTGAGCGTCCAAGGATCCTGGAGGGTAACTTCCTGTCTTCCAGGCCACCATGTCCCACCAGCTCTCAGTGACAGGCCTAGACTGTCTGAAGAGACACCATCACTGCTGCCTCTGGGGCCGATGGAGAAGAAAGATTCAGTTCTTGGGAGCATGCAGCCCTCTTTGGGGATGGGGCAAAGGAAAGAAACATCTGGAGGCTGACTCCTGGGCTGGGGTGTGGTGGGCTGGAACAGAGCAGAAGGGACCACCCTCCTGAGCGTGTGGGCAGGGCTCTTACTGGCATTTAAAATCCTAAAGAGCCCTGGCATGTGGCTTACTTTGGGGGGATTTCGGAAACTGTGGTACAGATAGAGCCCAGGCCTGAGGTTCTGAGATAGATGAACTCACCCCATGCCAAGAGCCCTGAGCCCCATTGTGGGGGGAGGGGTGGGGAAGAGATGGTTGTCCAGTTCGTGGGTTCTGAGTGTGACTGACTCCAGGCTTCTGCCTCTGTTGGAGATGGGGTGTCCCTGGCTCCCAGTGGAGGCCCGTGTGACTAATAAAAGACCGTGAACCTTCATGGAGACAGTGTCACTAGCACCCACTGACACCACTGTCAGAGGAACCAAGACAGCTTCAGCAGAGAAGACAGAGTGGGGGCAGGAAGAAGTGATGAGAGGGGGACGTGGGGGTGGTTGGAGTCAGGAGGGTGCCAGAGAGGTGTTTCTATTGCTATAGTTACGCACCCTGAGTCAGAAGGCAAGGTCTGGACCACTCGTGCCTAGAAAATGCCCTGTGGCATCTTGAGACCCTTCCTGACAGCACCTTCCACATAGTGGCACATTCAGATGCCCCCGCGTAGTGACACTGCACCTCCCCCTTCACAATGATGCTCACTGCCACAGAGGTCCTGTGCTGCCATCATCACACCACACCTTTATTTGGATGCTTCTCACCCAGTGCACAGCTCTGCAGGGTGCTCTGACCCCTGCACCTCCTGTGCCCCCTGTGCCAGGAGGCCTGGCCCGGCGCCTGCCAGGCCCACTCTTGGGTCCTAGATTCGGTCTTCTGGGTGGGAGGCCAGCAGGCAGCAGGGATGGTTCCATCAGCCGTTGTACAGAAATGCAGGTCTTGGGTAACTACAAAGCTACATTTTGGGACTGGCTCCTCAGGCCTGCAGGACCCGGCAGAGAACAAGTCCTGCTGGAACAGAGCCCTGGTACGGGCTGAGCACCACCACGTGTTAGAAGAGCAATTAGAAGTGGGAAGGTTATATCTCCTCCCCTCCCTCCTTCAGGCCTGATGCCCAGGGCTGAGCTGTGCCCAGTACGGTTCTAGATCCTTCCTGACTTACCCAGAGCCTAAGAACTGCTACAGGAAGGAAGATAGAACAGGGGCTGTTGTCCCCATTTTTCAGATGAGGAAACAGAGCCAAAGGGATTGTCCATGCTAAGGTCACTCAGGACCAGGACCAGATGCCTGCCCTGCGACCACTCACTGCATCAGCCCCTCTAGGCCTCACCAGCATTGCCCTGCAATGCAAGGCTGCTGCATGAGCCTGGACATGTGCGTTAGTGGCCCTAACTACAGAATTATACCCAGATCTGGCTGCTGTCTTTTCTCCCCACCCTTCCCCTGCTCCCAGCCTCCTCTCTGCTTCCCTGCTGCCCCCAGACATAGCAGAGCCACCTACCTGTCTCTTCATCCCAGCCTCTTCCCGTCACTCTTCAGTGTGTGGCTGAGGCTGGAAGAGATCCTGCAGGTTAGAGCTTGGGGAAGGCTGGAGGGAATGAGACGCTCAAGGTTACACCTCCCTCAAAACATTGGGCCATGCTCCTGCTTGGAAAGTTACTCAAACAGCCTGACTCATCCTCACTGCCCCTGTCTGTTCTGCCTTAGTTTTTTGCTCTGATCTGCATCTAGTCCAGTCTCCAAAGAGGTGGTCTCTGTTCTCCCATCCATGGCAGGGTCACTGGGGAGTGACCTCACCTTTGACATCCAGCCGGCAATCCACAGATGCCTCCCCCAGCACATTGATGGCCTTGCAGGTGTAGACCCCAGAATCAAAGGGACTGGGTTTCCGGATCTCCAGGGTGCAGACCCCTTGCTCAGAGAGGGCACGGTACTTGGGATCACCTTTGATGTCCATGTTGTTTTTCATCCAGATGATCTTGGGCTGGAGGTGCAGACAGAAAAGACAAGGTCAGGGAAGGGTATGGCCTGCGACCACATCCCAAAGGGCCACCTGCAGCCCTTAGTACAGATGCCTGGAAGATTCTCTAACTCTCCTGTCCCCATCTGTCGCCCAGGCCAGGGCCCTCACCTTGGGTGATGCTCTGACGCTACAGAACAGCTGGGTGCTGTAGCCAGGGGTCGAGGTGTGGTCAGCCAGGGGCTGGGTGAATGAGGGTGCTTCTGAGAAGTCTCGCTCAACAAACCCCTTAGGTTTGGCAGTGATATCTGGATTCAGGGGAGAATGTGAGGTTACAGGAGTAGAGGAGACCTTGTAAGACTGGTCTCACCCCAAGTCTTTGGGAAGCAAGTCATGATGCCTTCGAGGAACATAGAGCACATCACAGAGGGAAGGAAAGTGACTCGGGGCTGAGGGGGGTCAGGGGAGCAGAGGGGGAGCTGTGAGCAGGAAAACTGGAGCCACAAGCAGATCTTGGCAGATCTCGGCAGAAGGTGGAGACCCGTGACCTGGAGATACCACATTTCATTTCTTTGTCTTTGGAGACCCATCTGGCTTCTTTTTTTAGAAACAAAAATTTCTTCCCAATTCTGTGCATCTCGGTCTGGAGTTAACAAGAGTGCACTTTCCAGAGCCCACACAATCTGGTGGGGAGGGCCTCAGACATGTCGGGTAGTGGGAAGAAGGCCTGGAATTCTACATTTGATGCTAAAGGCTCAGGTGCCTGTTGGAGACAGTAAATGCCATATCTCCTGTGCATTGGTGTGGTGTTCTCTTTGGGCAGGGAGGTTTGTGCTTTTATGAACTTGCCAGGGTCTGCCTATCACGCACACATTGCCCTTCAGGGTGGGTCCTGTGGGATACTATGCATGCGATCCACAGACCACTGCACTATTGCGGTCATACACATCTCTATGATAAGTGCACAGCCTCCTGAGGGGGCTTGCTCATCTGCATGGATTTGCACTGATGTGTTTAGCATCAATCTGCCACATCCATTTTATAGTTACTCTGTGCCTGTGTGTGTGTGTGTTTATGTTGTGCACATAACTGTGGAGTGGGAGGAAAGCAGCAAAAGTTCCAGGGAGCAGGTACTCAGGAGAAGCCCGGAGAGAGGGATGGGGGACACCAAGGAAGAGGTGGAGACAGGGTAAGAGTCAGGATGCCTGCCCAGCCCAAACCCACCTGCCTTCTGGATGTGTGCAAGCTCCTTGGTGGTGGCGGCTGAGTCGCTGAGGCCACACAGGTTTTCTGAGAAGACCCGGAAGGAGTACGAGTTGCCAATAATGAGGTCGGAGATGGTGCAGGTGGTTGGATGGTAGCGCTCCAGCACTGTGAACCATTGCTGCGGAGACCCCGGCTCGTCACCCTCACCTCTCACCCCTGTCTCAGTTTCCTTGCTTACTCCTTGCAGGGACTATCCCTGGGAGACCGAGCCATCCAGTTTTGAGCCTCAGGGACTTTGAATTGGGAGAAGGGTCTCCTGCGTTGCTCAGGTGAACACTCAGGTGAGCTCTGTGATGTTCTCAGAGGACTCTAGAGCCTGGTTATGCAAAGTGCGCCAGCAGATATGCAATCTCAGCAGAACCTGGCACTTTCTGCAATGCAAGAGCTGGCCTCTAGCAAGACCTACTGAATCAGAATTTGCATCTTAGCAAACTCCCAAGTGATTCCCAGACACATTAAATTCCAGAAACACAGCTTTGGAGATTGAAAGGCAGCAGAGAGCCCATTCCAGCCCCTCCTGCAGCCTTCAGGAGGAAACTGAGGAATAGAGCAGGCAGTCTTGCTGAGGGCCACTTAAGGATTCAGTTAGCAGTGGCACTGGAGTGGGGTCGGGTGACTCATAATGGGATGGACCCTCCCAGATATCTTGGCCACTTCCTCCCCCACCCTACTCGGCCTCCGCCGGCTCACCCCTGTCTTTTTATCTGCCTTCTGCACCGTGTAGCCCAGGAGCTCTGTGTTGCCTGTGTCCTGGGGTGGGGTCCACTCAAGGGCAGCATTGCATCCCCAGACATCCAGTATCCGGATGCTCTTGGGGGGTCCCGGCTTCTCTGCAGGATAAGAGTAGGAGGGAAGTGAGTATGAGGCTGGGCCTGCCACGAAGTGCTCACACCCAATATTTGTCTCCTGCAATGCTTCCTTAGCCTGCTCACCACCTGCCAGCAGCTCTAAGGTAGAAAGGGGAGCTCTGAGTCCCAAGAGGCAGCCCCTTCTCCCCCGACCCGTACCAATCACCAGGATATCAATGGTGGCCTTAGCTTCCAGGCCTTCCAGCTGCACGGTGAGCTCATAGCAGCCTGAGTCAGAGCGCTGGGCTGAGCGGATGAAGAGGATAGAGTCCAGATCTCCGCTGCGCACACTCACTCGCTGGCTGTCCAGAGCCTGGCCGTTGTGGGTCCATGAGGCTTGAGGCTTGGGCTTCCCCTGGCAGGAAGGAGTACTCAGGTGAGTGTGGCAGGTGCTGGAGCCCATGCCCACCAGCTCCAGGGGTGTCTGGAGCTGTGCCCAGGAGCCTACTCTGTTGGCCCAGAGCTGCAAAAGCTGGAGCCACAAGTGCTGCCCAGAGACATGTCCTCCAGGCATCTAACCTGCCCTGGGGCCTGCCTGCCTGTCTGCAAGCTGGAGAATTACAACAGAGTTGTATGCACAATGGAGAGAGGCCAAGGCAGTCTTTGTGGTCCTCAGGAGACCCCATGGGGACACTGACACTTCCTGTGCTCCCCGACACATATCATCCTGGCTCTTGCTCTTCTGCGCTCCCTCCGAGCAGGCAGACCCACCTGGAAGGGGATTTGCAGGTTGATGGACTCTCCCACGAGGCGGATGTAGGTCTGACGAAGGTGACGGGGGACACGGATCTTGGGAGGCTCTGCATGAAAGAAAGAGTCTAGGCTGATCATGGCAGGTGGACAGCTGCATGGAGCTCCTGAGGCAGGGGTAGGGGACAGCTGGCGTGGGCTGCTGGCCAGACAGGAGGACTCCTGGGTGTGTCCCGGCTGCCTCCTTGTGAGAAGGGCAATGCTGTCAGTGCCGAGGTGGAGGGGCCCAAATCCCTTGAGGGCCTTGGGCAACTGAGAGTCAAGAGGTTCCAGGGAGGTCAGGCCCTCCATAGTGTGAACTGGTAAGCATCCCAGGCACTCCTTTGGCACCTCGACCCTGTCAGGCTAGGATTTGCCCTGCAGCCCAGGCATTCTCCTGGTCCAGATGGAGCGGCAATCAGCTCTCTGTCTCCCCCTGCAGGAGGACAGGTATTGTATCTCTTAGCCTGAACTAGGGAGGGAGGCAATGCCAGCCATCAACCTGCTGATCCAGCTTCCCGTCACACCATGGTGCAGGACTTTCAGAGACCCCTTTGTGAGACCCTGCTTGCTCAATCCTTTGGGAACATTGCAGTCTTTTCCCACCAAAATGAGGCTGGGGCAGGTATAGCCCCTTCTTCTTATGTCTCCGCCTAATCTTTACTCTCAAAGTTGGGAAGTCTTCCTATTTTGGCCCCCTGCAATGGCAGAGAAACACCTTGCTGACCACACCCTAATTCAGCACAGCCACTGAAGTCTCTGGACATTCCAAGGGAAGCTGCAGCGGCCATGGTCCCTGTCCCTGGAGGTGGCCCCTCAGTAACAAACAGGTGGGAACAGTTGGTCATGGCATGAAGGGCGGCCAAGAAGGAGACAGTGAGAAGGAACACTGTGTCTCCAAGGATTAGCTGAGCAGGCACTTGGCTTGAGGGTCACAGGCCAGGAATGCTCTCTGGGCAGCTGCAGGGGGTCAAGAATGCTTGGCAGTTCCAGGTGGCTGAGGAGCGACAGCTGAGCAGCTGAGGATCCTGGACAGGCCCTCACTCTGCCCTGCCCACAAGAAGCCAGGCTGTTTCACACTTGTTCATGGCTGCCGCGCCCCCCCGCCCCGTTTCTCTCCAGGAAATCCCCTCCTCTCCTGCCAGAGGAATTTTAATAGAGAAGTGGGTGCTAGTCTGCCTGGCTCCTTCAATGCTGGCCCTCAGAGGCCTCTCTGAGTCTGAGCTCCCAGGGCCCCTGGGGGAAGGTCTAGGACTCTCCCAAACAGGAAGGCTTTCTGTCGTCTCCAGGCTACAGTCAACACAGCCATACTACAACTGCCACTTGGGGCTGTGCCTTGCTCCAAGACTGGCAATGTCCTGGGCTTTGAAAGCCACCAGCAAAATGCCTTGCAGCCCAGCGGAGCATGACGGTTCCTGTGTGGACATCTGAATCTAAGACTGTCACCAAAAGGCTGGGTGGCACTGAGGGTGTCCCTGGGCCCTTTGGGATCTCTTGGTGTTGATGCATCAGCCACAACAACTTGTGGCTCTAAGCTGGCATGTGTCTCAAGCGTCAGGGTTGAGTATCACCTTGAATCCAAACCTGACCCTTCCTGTGGCCACGACACCCTGTCCTCCTGTCCACCTTGTGCAGAACTATGTGGTTCTGCTCCAAGCCTCCACTGGGAGCCATCTGTCCCCCTGGAGGAGCATGAAGGAAGAGGGAGAAGCCCTCAGGCCACCTGCTTGTGTGCGTCTCTCTTCACCGTGGGGCCTTGCACTGTCCCCAGAGACCTGAGACCCAGTGACTCATTGCCATTAACAGACTGAAACCTGATCAGCTCTGGGAGGGCAGCGAGGGTAGGATTGAGGCTAATACACCCTGCAAATAGAAATATTAGCAACGGGGACAGCAGCTGGTCTCCAGGTCCCCAGCAAGCCACTGCCCTCTTGGAGAAGGCTTGGAGGGCCTTTAGCAGCCCCAGCTCTTCCCAGCAGGCTGTGGAAGATGGGGGAAAGCAGGGCTTCTATATTCCAGATGCCTTGAAAGAATCTGGAACCCAGACCTTAGGAAATGGGCAGAAAATGAGCTGCCATGGCTGCTGGAGGGATTAAGGTGAGCTAGAAGGGGGACAGATGGCCTCTCAACGTTGGGACCCTGAGAAAGGTGACCAGGGAAGCTGTGCTTTCACTTCTGGGCAGCAGGAAGCCTCTCCCTAATGCCCAGGGCAAGACCACTGGGGGAAATGGTTTCTTTGACCTCCAGAGCCCCTTGCTGCTGAGAGAAGCCGCCTGACACTTTTTCCAGGCAAGATGGCCCTCGCATGTGGCTTGTGTGTGTGGCTGTGGGAGGGGACATGTTTGCTTGGATGGCCTCGGTCTTTCTGCTAGGTAAGGGCTAGGAAGCAAGAGGTGAGGATGGGCTTTACCGATGTTCTCTTGGATATGGACAGGCTGGTCCAGCACGGCCGGCGGGCCAGCCCCAGCGGAGCTCACTGCAGCCACTCGCAGGAAGAACTTCTCTCCCAGAACCAGATTCCGCACTGTCTGCTGGGTCACCATCATGGGCCGGGGGTTCACAGGCACCCACTCCGAAGCTGAGCAGAACAGAGGGCAGTAAGGCCTTGGTGACATGACCGGGGGCTCCCTTCTCCGTGGTGATCTGGGAAAGCTGACCTCCCGCCCCAGCCCTTATTTCCTCCCACCCTCTCTGACTTCTTAGTGTTAAGTGACATCAAAGATACCTGATGTTAGAGCCCTAGAATGTGGCCAGAGAAGGGTTGCTGAAGCCCTGAGAAGGTTTGATGCATTTACAAAACTATGAAGCAAGGCAGAGGTAGAGGCCAGGACAAAATTATGAAGCAAGGCAGAGGTAGAGGCCAGGACAAATGTGAGTGTCATGGAGGAGGATAACAGTAGCAGGACTTGGGCCAAACTCCTCTCCCATCCCCTTTTATCATTACTGTCTGTTGTTCCCCCCTCCGCAGTCTCACTGCTCTTGCCTTCCTACATTGCCCTCCCTGAGAAGAATCTTCTGAGGCTTGGCTCCTCCTTCCCTTCTTATCAGAGTGGTGCCCAGTGTCCCCCACCCTCATGTACCTCAGAAGCTCCCTGGAGCTAGAGGGTGAGGGGGCTTCTAGGTCACAGCACAGCCCCACTTTCAGAGGTCCCAGAGGAGCAAAAGAGGCTAGGCAAGGGTGCTAGGGAGACCTCTGCTTTCACTCCCTCCCTCTGCATTGCCCCTCAACCCACTGTGCCCTGCCCCACCTCCCGTGGGTACATGCAAGCCTGAGCCCGGCTCACCTCCCTCTCGGCAGAGCTCCAGCATGTAGCCCTGTAGCCCCAGCCTCCCCAGCTTCTCGGGGGGCTCCCAGCTCACAGTCACAGAGTTGTGGCTCACATCCACGATGGTCAGCAGCAGCGGGGAGCTGGGAATATCTGAGGGGAAGCCAGGGTGAGAAGAGGAGGTTGACGCCAGGAGCCCCTCCCTGCATGCCGTCTCCCCCTCTACCCTGCCCGTCTCTGGTCACCTTCACTTGGAGGTGCAGGCTTAGTGGCTACAGGAGCTGTGGGAGTTGTAGGGGCTGCAGGTGCTGAGGGGACAGGTGCCTGAGAGGCAGGCTCCTGGGGCTCCCCAGCCTGCTCTTCCCCAGTGGACTCTGATACTGCCACTCCTCCAGAAGGTCCTGCCGTGAGCACCTTGGCAGGCTCAGATGCTGTCTCCTCTGGGCCAGAGGCAGGAGCCTCGGAGGTGGCTTTTTCTGCCATTGTTGGGCCGGCTGCTGATGTAGCTGGAGTGCTCAGGGGTTGCCAGGGGAGGGTCTGGGCCTCCAGGGTGGCAAGGACACCTAGGTCCAGGCTTATATAGCTGGGGGCTGCCCCACCCCCAGCAAGCGATTCCCAGCTGTGGGGTCAGGTCAGGCAGGGGGACAGAGGGGTGGGGAGGCACCCAGGCCAGGAATAGCTCTGGGGGAGGAACTACAGGGCCCCTTGAGAAAGCACACTACCTTGCCATCACTGATTGGACCTCAGCGCCAGGGTGCTGGTGCCAAGAGCGGGGAAGGCACATATGGGTGAACTGGGAGATCGCTGGGGCCTGCGCCAGGGAATCAAAGATCAGGGCAGTGGGAGAAAGCAGCCATCTGGAGAAAAGACAGGGCCAGCTCTGTGAGTCTGGGCTCTGGGGGACCACTTGGGGCTGGGTCTCCCAGACAGGGGTCTGGGGCCTAGATGGGCTGGACTAGCTTCCTCTCTAAGGGCTCCCCAATTTGTCCTTGGGGTGCACACGGCCGTCTTCTCACTGTTCCTGATGATACTATGTGCTATAGGAAGCTGAGGGTTCAAGAGAGGGAGGGAATTCAGATGCCCATGGTGTAAGGTTGGCTGCAGAAAGGTCCTCTAGCAACGGGACCCCAGAAGGGAAGACTGTCTTTGTCTGTTTGCAGCCGTCATAACAGAATACCACAGATGGGGTGAAATTATAAACAGAAGTTTATTGCTTGTGGTTCTGGAGCCTGGGAAGTCTAAGAGCGTGGCGCTCACATCTGGTGAGAGGCTGTGTGCCGGGGCATAGCGTGATGGAAAGGCAAGGAAGACAGAGAGGGAATTAGAGTGAACTCACCCTTTTTACTGGGAACCCACTTGTGAAATAACTGACCCATTTCCTTTCATGAAGACATCACCCCCGTGAAACCCCAGCTCTTAACACTGTTACGAAGAATTACATTTCCATGTGAGTTGGGGCGTGCCGCTTTCCAACCATAGCAGGGACTAAGCCCCTGTGTCCGGTCTCTGGTAGGGAGGCAAGTGGGGGCCCAGCCTCCCCTAATTCCTGCTCCAGGCCTCAGTGTCCCATGTATTACTGAGAACCCGCTCCCTCAGGTGGTGGTTGAGATGAGGTCGCAGGCAGAGTGAGAGACCCTGCTGGAAAGTAGCCCTCAGAAACTTTCCATCTCCTGGTTAGTGGGGACATTCCCCACATGGGCGACCAGCCAGCTGTGGCAGAATTCCTGGTCACCAATTCACTCATTCATTCAAAAAAATGTTAAAATGGGTAATAATTTAAAGCCCAGAAAATACCGTGTGTCAGGGAGAAGGGGAAGCAGTAAAAACTTTCATTGCTGACAGGATGTGAATTGGAGCCATGACTTTGGGAAGAGGGAGACGGTGCCTAGCGACACTGATCATGTACCTACTTGGTAACCACGCAGGTCCACTCCTGGAAGTGTTCATGCATGAGCCCCAGGAGACATAATGAAACATTCATGGTAGGATTACTTCTAATAGCCTGGATCTGGAGGGAAATAGCTCCCTCGGTAGTGGGATGGATAAATAACTGTAGAGCACTCATGCAACTATAAAGCAAAACATGGAATAAAATGAAGAGATTCAGCTATAACACCACTGATCTCACAGACCTGACAGTGAGCAAAGGAGCCAGGCACACAGAAACGGTGTCATCTCATACACATTAAAGTCAAACATAGGCTACATCAGAAGTCTTCAAGATGCGTCCATAGGTGGTCAGCCCATAAAAGAGAACAAGGCCAAGGTTAGCACAAAGGTCTAGATGGTGCTGGCCTCTAGGTGGAGAGACAGGGATGTATAGGATTGTGGAGGCTTGAGGATGCCACTAAGTGCCCATTTCCTGCTGTCAGTGGTGGTCAGACAGGTTTTCAGTCCACAGTAACTCTTTAAATTAAGCAAATACAGTTTATGCACTCTTTAGCATGAATCATCATTCAGCGTGTATGATGTATCTTACAATTTAAAAATAATCAAACATGAAATTTACTTGGGGTCCTTAGCAGTAGAGGACTTGGAGAATCATTGGGTGCAGCCTTGCCTGGGTGCCATGTCCTCTGCTGGGTCACTCAGCGTTCTGCCCAGCAGGGAGCAGGCCCTGGAGACACGATCTCCATCCTTGGCCTCTGACTGTGCAGCTATAAGCGAATGTGACTAATTCTGCAGGACCCTGAGTCAGCCCTGGATAGCTTGTCCCAAGCTGGGGGAAGGGTGGCCCCAGGGACAGGAGTTGGCTCTCCAGGAGTGCTCACAGCCCTGGGGTTTTCAAAGACCCCGCGTGGTCGGGCAGGCAGTGCCCAGGGTTAGGAATCACTTGGTCCCACTGGCCAGTGGTGAAACGCCAGGTACCCCCTGAGGCTCTGGCCAAGTCCTTTTGCCTTTAGCAGAGTTTTGACCTTCGAATCAGCTGCATCTGCCCAACTCCAACTGGTTCGGATTTCAGGGCAGCAGATAGGTATTTCCTTCCCTACACCTCAAAGCACTGTAACAAGCCATCAGGCCAACACATGATTATCCCAAGTCACAGATAATCCAAACATCAAGGAATCCACAAATAAATTCCCTTTAGTTTTGGATGACAAATCTGGACCCTTCTTGGGTAAAGTCATGTCCGGGACTTGGAAGTTCACAGAAGTCTGGTGAGAACATCTCCACCTCATAAAGCTAGAAAACTGGCTGGTCTTCTGAGCCACTCCTCGTCCACCCATCCTCCCACTCCTGTCACAGGCCAGCTTGAGCAAGGGAGCTTTGATCTCTGCATGGGTCGAGGGATGAGTGTGAGAGGGAATCCAGAACAAGAACAGAGGGCTGGGGACAAGGGCAGCACTGGAGCAGCCCATAGCTCTCAGCCCAAAGTGGAATGGGCCGTCCCTAAGAAAATGAACTGTGGGTCACCAGGAGTACAGAGAGGCAAGAAATCCATCTCTCAAGTGCCCTGCAGAGGCCCCAGCCCTGGGAGGCCAGGAGGTTCATGGGAAAATGTCTGCCTTTCCTCCCACCACCCTCCCAAAGACCAGAAGAGATGAAGTATTGGGATTAAAGGACTTTCCTTCCCAGGGGGTCCACTAGCCTTCAGGAAACAGCAACAGGTTCTTCCAACAAGGAACTTAATTTGGAAGCCTGGATGGCAATGAACAAATATCTAGAAGGCCATCAGCCATGCTTGGGTGAGTCCGAGGATGCTGCCTGCCATGGAGGGCCCCTGGGATCTGTCAGGGGACACGGTGGCTCCCCAACCTCAGAGAGAGGAATCCAGGAAAGACAGGGGAGGTGAGCCCAGAGGTTCCGTGTGCCCACCAAGACAGACTGAAGCAAGTGTAACCCACTGTTAAGCTCTTGTACTTTATTGAGCAGCTGTGGAATTAGGAAAGGGAAGTGATATAGGAGACATGATTATGTTCCTAAGTGAGGGTTTCAAGTTGGACTTTGCAGAGGGTATAATTAGTATGGTCACTCTGTCTTGTAGGATGTTTGCCTGCTTGGTGGCAGAGCTTGCCAAAATGATGTTCTTTATAAGGAGGATGGGGTAAAGAAGTTACAGAAATCCCCTTATGCTGGGCTTGGAGTCTATGAGCATTTCCATTAATCAAGAGGTATTGATCCTTCATCTTACACTGGTCTGGTCCCCAGAGCCCCACGCTACCTCCTGTCTGCAAGGACCGAGCTCTAATCTCCATGCTGTGGCCCTCTGCACAGATTCCAAGTGGAGGGAAACTGAGGCTCAGTCGAGGGACTTAGCAAGTGATCAGGTTCCGGGCCAGCTGGAGCCAGAGGGTGTGAGGGTGTCCTTGGCTCTCACCGTGTGCAGAAGGATGGGCTAAGCTGCAGTGAGTACATCCTTGATAGCGTTGGTGAGGGGGAAGGGTAGATTCTGGCCACAGAAGGAGCCCTGGAAGTCATCCAGATCCAGGGTCCACACCATGGCACCTGCTAGTTGCTTGCTTTTCAGGTACTGCGCCTAGTGGAAGGGGTCCAGAGGGGCCAGGGTGTGTATGGAAGAAATGTGTCACATGGCCTTTTCCCAAGGGAGGGGACAGTGGTACCAGAGACCCCACTCTTGGGACAGAGGACGGGATGTGGATGCTGGGAGCCTGGCTGGGCTTCCACCTCCCTCCTTGTCCTGAGGCATTTGGGGCCTTGGGGATGCTTACCTTGCTTTTGACACTTTCCAGGTCATCATACCCCACCCACTGGTTGCCCTTGGTAGCGTAGGGGACCTGCTGGCTGGGGACTCTATGGACTGTGGCTCCGTGGAGAAAGTCACAGACCTGAGCAGAGAACAGGACAAGGGTAGTGTGGGGAAACTTTACAGATCACCAGCAGTCACTCCCCGAAGATTGTCCAGCCTCTTACTTCAGCCTGTGGTCTCACTTGCATGGTCTCTAGGCTGCAGGCTTCAAGCAAATTTATGAAAATGTCTCAGAGTTCAGCTGCTGTAGTGTGGGGGCTCTCAGGGGGTTCTGAGTGCCTCCTCTGTCTTAAACAGGACTGTGAGAAGTGGTGGGTTGGGTGGCCCTGAGGACCAGGCCCAGGCCCACACACAGTGCAGACTAGACCTGCCTCTTGGCCATTGCCCTTGCCTGGGCTGGAAGGAAAACTCCAGTTCTGTGGCCAGAGGAGCGCTGAGGGAGCTGCAGAGAACTGCACCTGCTGGAGGCTTTTAGGAGCAAAAAGCCCAACCCTCTTGTTCCTCCTCAGGAATGCTAGGTCAGCTGAACATGCTCTTATTCCCAAAAAAGTGGGGTAGAAGGATCCCCTTCTCCAGGTGTTGGGAATCTTACCTTCTTCCCTAACTCCATACCTCATAGTAGGCGAGGGTCCCTTCCTCCTTGGTGAACCGGCCTGCAAGTCCTGGCCCCGAGATTGGGGCTCCAACACCAGTCTCAGAGGAGGCCAAAGTGTAGCTCTTCCCGAAGGTCGGGATGCCCATCACCAGCTTGCTGGCTGGGGCACCCAGCCTCAACATGTACCCCACAGCATAGTCCTGGTAGGGGAAGAACAGGGGTAGCAAGCAATTAGGTAGGCTGCAGGTACGAAGATGGAAAGAGTGTTCAGTTAATGCTGCCCCCTTGGCAGCGGAAGGCGCAGTTATACAGTGCCTCTGGGATTCCCCGTTCCTCCAGGAACTGATCATTTCAACGTAAAATGAATGTTAAAGTTTCATTCTTGGAAAACTCCTTTTAGGCACAGGGGGTGATTATTACTGTCTGACAGATGCAGAGTTCAGTGGTTGGCTGGTTAAGACTAGACTCCCTTCTCTCAGGCCCAGCCTCTGCCCATTCTATACTGGCCTCTCCTTGGGCCACCCTGCAGGCCCCATTCCCAGAGCCACGGAGAATGGAGGCACCATTCCTTCCTCTGAGAAATGGGTCTCACAACCCCTGCTTTGCAGAATTGTGCTAAGGAATACAGGGGTTGGGCTTTGTGGTCCCTTCCCTTCTCCTTTCTGGGCACCCACCACGTTGCTGAATCTGTCGGTCTTGCCATCCAGCTGGCCTCGGAAGAGGGGGCTGTGGTGTCCTGTGGTTTGGCGCCAGGTTCCATGGAAATCATAGGTTAGGATGCTGATGAAATCCAGGTGTCTGGGAGGAGGAGTGTGAAGGGTGAGGTGGGAGATGAGAAAAGCTCTTGGCTTTACATCTAAGGCGCCAGCAGGAGAAGCAGACTGCTGACAGGCCATTGACTCAAAGCCCAACAGCTCCCGGGGACTGCTGTGCTGCCTGCTGGGGCTCCCTGGGCTCAGGCAGGGTGCATTCCAGGCAGAACAGAGGCTTTCACTTGCCCTAGCACTTGTTTGGGAGATGGCTTCCATCTCCCTCGGCCCCTCCACCTGCCAGCCTCAACGTGATGGCAGCGGGTTAGAAGCAGAGACAGATGGCCTAGCAGAGAAAGAATAGGACCTTGGGATGGCTCAACCCATGGCACATGGGTGGAAAGGAGTTTCCACAGCCGCACTGGCATGCATATGAGCATTAGAAATCTGGGGCAAATTGCTGAGAGCCACCTCTTCCCTACCCTCTATAGGAGCATTTGAGGCACCAAGCTACGCGCTCTAAGGGTCTGAAGGAGACGCTACAGGTGTGTTGAGATTACTGCTCCACTCTCCTGGGATTCTCACCATGCTCCTGGGAGAGCCCCTGCATGGCTGTTGGCCACTCAAAGTCACATGCAGAAGGTGCAGGGTGAAGAGGGGTAGGCAGCAGGAAAGGGGCTGCCTGTGTGCACCTTGAGGACTCCCCAGCTTTCTAGAAGTAAAAGCTAGGACCTACTGTTCTCTTCCTGCACAAGGGTGGCCGGTGGATTTGGATAGCCTTTTCTATCCCCCTTTCCCAAATACTTTCATAGCAACCCTCTCAACTAGTCAGCAACACTCCAAGTGGAATAAAAAGAAGACCGGCGGTGCCCTGTTTGACAGACTGGGAAATGGTAGTGCAGGGCAGGACAGTGACTCGCTCAAGTTCACAGTCTGGGTCTTGGAAGAGCTGGGTCCTGAAACTCAGTCTCCTGAGTCCTCACAGAATATGAGGACAGGACTGGGGAAAGGGAGGGATGTGTGTAGAGGCTCCTGGGGGGCTGCCAGCGGGGAGGCTTACTTTGCTATCTGGGCAACATCATAGCCGGTGTCAATGGTGACCTTCCCTGCAGATACTGCTGCACTGAGCAGGAGCTGCTCTTTTCCAGGCTGGGTCTCCTTTGTAAATTCAGTCTTCATTTCCTGGATGGGAGGCAGTCAGGGAGTGAGAGGTGCCCGGGAGGCAGGAGGAGACTGTGCTGGGATGCGGAGGTCTCTGAGCACCCAATGAGTCGTCCCCACCTTGTGCGATCCCCAGTCTGCCTGGGGCTCGGTGGAAATGATTCCAAAAATGGCCCATCCAGGGTCCCATCCTCCAGATCACCCATCCTTCACTACAGCTCAGCTGGACCAGTCTCATCCTCAGAGCCCACACATGCCCGTGGGCCTCCATGACTCCCTGTGCTGGAGGGACCATTAGGACAGGGGCCAGGCAGGTGGAAGGTGTTAGCTTCTCAGGCCATGCTTTGCTTAACTGGTACATGAAGTCACAAGACCAAAGAGATGAACATGGGTAGTGTGATGGTTTGTTTCAACTGTCACTTTGCTCCTGGGGAACCGGAGAAGCTTGGGCTGCTCCCAAATACAGCTGGTGCTCCTAGAAGCAATGCATCATGGGTAGCAAGTAACATCTGTTTAGGACTGAACGGTGGACAGTGAGGGGTGGGTACTGTACCCCTACCACCCGTTGTGGCCACCGTGTATCTTCCTTGCTGGAGCCCCCTGCCTGTCCCTGGAGGACATCAGCTGCAGACAGCTTCTAACCTACCCACACCCTGACCCTGCCACCCGCCTCCCTGCTTTGCCCGACCTGCCCAGCACCTTGATCAGGGTGGTAAAATGCTGCTTGTCTCTCCTTCCAGGGTACAGCCAGGCTAAGTCCAGCCCATCAAAGCCATAGGCCCGCAGGAACTTTGGTACCGATTTGATGAAAGTCCTGCGCTTCTGGGTGCTGGAGGCTATGCTGGAAAATCTAGGACCAAAATCACCCCACAGTGTGCCCATCACTGATGTGCCAGGCGCCCTGGCCTTGGGCAGGGTTTCCAGGACCTAGGAGCAGGGAACCTGAGCCCATGCAGCTCCAGGAAAGCCTGGTGGTGATGGCACTTACACCAGACATAAGAAAGAGCTTGTACCTTAGAACCAGGCATGCCTGGTTCCCAAGCCTGGACTATCACTCACTAGCCAGCCAAGGAGCACATTATAGCTTACATCTCAGTTTCCTCATCTGTAAAATGGGACAGTCATAATATCCCCAGTGCTATCTGGAGGATTCCACACGATAACGTGGGAAAGGGTGTCTGACTCTGTAAGTTCTCAGCGAGAGGGAACTCCCTCAGCCATGAGCCACACCTTTCTCCAACTCTGTGTGCTCTGAGGAGTCCTCTCGGGGTCTCCAAACCCCCACAGTTCTCCATTGGTTTCCGGTCTGCTCCTCCCAGGCCCTATGGCAGAGTTCACAGAAGCACTTTGCTTTCAGTCCAGAAAGGCAGTAAAAAAGAGCACGGATGGGGAAAGCGAAGATTCACTGTCAACTTGCTGTGTGATTCTAGTGAGTCCTTTTCCCTCTCTGGGCTCTGGTTTCATGGCTTTTCATGAAGCAGGCCCATGACAAGCAGTTAAGCTTCTGTGCCTAATGTGCTGGAGCCATAGCCACCCCCCCACAGGGGGTGGGGAGAGCCATGCCTCTTCCCTTCTATTCTTTCATCTTGCCCCAGGAAAAGGTCCTACCTTTGAGAGCCAAAGTTCCATCCCCCAACAGACAGGAAGGTCTTCAGGTTGGGGTTCCTGTCGGGCAGGGAAGAGAGGAGGGCAGGGGTAGAATGAAGTTGCCAAGACAAGGACCCGTGCCTGGGAGGCTGTAGTAGAGTCCCAGCTTTGGTGACTGGCTGGGTGAGGCCTCTGATGTCCCCCTTCCCAGAGACTCAGCGTCCCCAGAGATCACAGACATTGTGGCAGTGACTGCGGTATGCTGCCCCTGACTGGTCCCCCTACCAGGAAAGGCAAAGAACGGTGAAGCAGGGTCCCACACATTCTCCGTGCTCCCCGAAGAGGCACCACTAGGGGAAAGAGAGAGTGTCCTTCCCAGGGGAGCTCAGGGAGCCTCTTACAGGCTGCCTGTCACCACTCCAAACACTGCCCAGCACCCACCAGGATCCCCCCTACTGCAGCCAATGCCCTCCAGCTCTGCACCCAGAGGTGGCACTGTGGGCCTGCACCCACCCTCTTGGGTACACCTGCCCAGCCCTCCACTCGCCTGTGACCTGACCTGCTTTTAAGTGAGTTCAGGGTGCCATAGAGCACCACATCATTCCACTCCCAGGTGTCGATCTCACTGTTGCTTATGTTGGCAAAGCTGTAGATGATGTGGGTGCAGAGGAAAGGGTCGATGACATCTGGGAAGCAGCTCCCATCGCCTTCCCGGTACTGGGACCAGTTGGTGTAGTAGCAGACCAGTTTGTATGCAAAACCTGAAGGAGGAATCTGGGGTGGGACCTGGGCCTGGATCCAGGGAGACACCTCCTGGCTGAACCCAGAGTTGAGCACTAACAGGGTGTGGAGGTGTGGCCTGGGGGAGTGGGGGACGGAGTTGTGAGCAGAATGAGAATTCTTAAATAGAAGGAGCCTGGTTTCCGGCTTGGTACCTGCAACGGGATCTTTGATCCAAGGGAAACACTGGCCTGTCTATTCTGTCCCCTGGTGGGAGTGCCCCTGGCTGGTACCTGACCGAGAGTGTGATCCCCAAGCTGGGGCATGCTGTCATAGTGGACCAGAAAGTTCTTCCTTTCCTCTCATCCTAATTCCTCCCTGGCCAGTGCAATCCTTCCTAGTGACTAGGAAGGCAGCGGGCCTCACTCCTCCATGGGGGTCCTGGGCTGTGGCTCCCTCAGCTTCTCCCCATCTCAGCCCTCATCTCTGAACCTGGAGCTTTTAACATTTCTTGTGAAGAAAATGCAGAGTAGAGAAATAGAGAGATGACCATCCCCATATGCAAGCAGCTTGGTTTAATAAATGCAAATATCTGCAAGGCATTTGAATCACAGAAGAAGCCAGCAGAGTTCCCCAATGCCAGAAACCACCCTGCAGGCCTCTATGGGGACTGGGTGGGGGCTGGGACACAGGGGGGCTACTTACAGCACTGGAGCAGCACCAGAACTGCAAAGCCTGAAGGGAAATCAGGGTCAGATTCCCTGCGGGTTCACAGGCCCTTCCTTCCTCCCTCCCTCCCATCCCCTCCCAAACCACTCGAGCCTCACACCAGCTACACAGACCCACACTGCCCCTCCCCCACCCCAGGTAGGGCACTGGGCCCACGATGCAGTGGGTCTGTGGGTGATCCAACCCCACTTGGCCAGTGCAGAGACCTGTCAGAGTTGCCCTTGTGTCCATCCTGGTGCAGCAGAGCGTGGCCTGCAGCTCCTGGTGCCCAGCTGCCTCTCTCTCAGGCCCCACACTTCCTTTTAAACCTATCATACTCCACTCCTCCACACCCAAACCATCCCCTTTACAGGAACTCAGCGTGTCAGTGAAGGAACCACAGAGCCGGTGGGGCAGAGAGTCCTGCCAGCCACTAGGTTGGGGTTGAGAAACCCTGGAGTTTTGAAAACACCAGGGGAGGTCTTTAGGAGGCACCTGCCAGCAGCAGGGCCACTGGGGTGGTGACTCAGCCATCTTTCCAGAAACTTCCTCCTGCTCCTTCTGCCTCCACTTGCTTCTTGCCAGCAGCTTCCCGGCTTTTCTGGCAGCTTCTCCCCATCTCAGCCCTCTGTCCAGGCTGCTGGCCAGGTTGAACTCGGGTACAATTGAGTTACATAAGCCACAGCACCCTGAATAAGGCTGTTATTGTACCGCCTTGCCAGACCAGACCTGCCCTCCCCTCAAACTTCCTCTCTCTCCTGGGTGCTCCCATGACTGGCCTAGGCATCAGTAAGGACTGGGGAGCCTTGTGGGGGAGCTTGGGAAGAGGTGGGAGGGGGCCCACATCTCTTCCTTTTAGCAATTTATATGCTAATTATTAAATGGAAAGCCAGGAGAGGAGAGGGAAATTCCCGAGAGTATTCTGAGTTCTGAGGAAATGTTCTTCCCCCTTTTTAAGTTCCAGCAAAAGTGAGTACGAAAAAGTCTGTCACAAGCATGGAGCCCGGCAAACCCAGGCCCCTGTGACTCCCCTGGAAGCAGCTGCCAAAGAACCTCGGACCCATAATCGCTGTTCTCACAGTGATGCTCTCACAAGCCAAGCCCGAGAGGCGGCCCAAGGGTCACAGCAAGCAGAGCTGGGTGGTAGAGCGCGTTCCTAGCGTGCCTGAGGCCCTGGTTTCCATCCCTGCACCACTGAACAGCGACCACAAAAGACAACCACTTCTGCATGGCCGAAAAGATTCAGGGCAACTCCATTTCTCCATCCATCTATAAATTAATAGTGAGTGAAAAGTTCAGAACTCTATGAGCCAGATGGGCCAGAAGCTTCCCAACAAAGCCCTTCCTTTCTGCACAGCGGCAGGTAAGAGCCAGGTGTGAGCTGCGCGGACCGAATCACTCTCCTCCCCAGGCCATCTCCCCTTCCCTCTCGCTTCCTCTAAAGCACCAGCGGGGCCTCCCCTTTACTGTAAGATCCAGACAAGAAGGGGGTTGCGTCATACTCCATGTGGGCTGAAGATCCCGGCTTCTTCCTTTCATCCTTTCATCCAGAAGATGACTGACAGCAATTAGTCAGGGAGAACTTTGCCCTGCTTGCTGGGGCACTGAGAGAGGGCCTCCTGGCCCTTTCCGTAGAGACTTTACAGAGCACAGATGTGGGCAGAAATTTTCAGAAGGTGCAGGATGTGAAGAAGATCTTTCCTATTTTCACTCTCTGCCTTTGTTAAAAATGATCTCCTAGGCTTTCACTGGCCATGCTTTGTTGTTTTGTGAGCCCTAAAGTTCACAGTTCAATAATTCTGTTAATTCTGCACGAGAGTGGCACTGTCCTAACAGATAGCCACCCCTGCCCCACCCCAGGCCAGCCTCAGCTGTATCTAATGTTTTGGGGTCAGTACTTTAGCTCTGATGTGTAATCTTTCAAGCCCCAGGAAGTCATAGCCTCTATCTCGAGACTCAACCCCATCTGACAGTGTGGAGCAATGGCTCTTCATCCTGCCTTGTCTCAGTTCACACAAGGGAACACAGAGGGTGCAGGGAAACATGCCTGCCATCTTCAAAAACTACCATCAACATCTAGGCTAGACCGATATGCATTGCTTAAAGCCAATTAAAAGGATAAGGAAAAGGTCCTAGCCAACTCTGTACATATTAATACATGGAAACAGGGTCAGGCTCAGCCAAAGAGGAGGCAATTGCACCTCTTTCAAGGAGAGTCACCCAGGTGGTCCTCCACAGGCTGGGAATTACTTTTATGTGTGAAGTAATTATATGAAACCTTTATCTGTTTTATTTTTTCTAGGACCCTGTATTTGTTAATATTCCTCGCCTGCAAGGAGTTGAAATTCTTTGCAACCAATAAGGCTGAAAGTTCATGTTATGAAGTCAATCCACCACTTTCTAGAGCAGTGCTCTCCAACCTTTTTGGTCCAGGGACAGGATTTGCGGAAGACAATTTTTTAATGGATGGGATAGGTGGGTGGGAAACTGGTGGTGGTTTCATGATGATTCAAGCTCATTACATTTATTGCCAACTTTATTTCTATTATTATTGCATTGTAACTTATAATGAAATAATTATACAACTCACCATAATGCAGAATCATTTGCCACTCACTGATTTATTATGGCCTCTGTGTTAATCAAACCTCTCTGCTAATGTTCATTTGCCTGGTGCTAGCATCACCATCTCAGCTCCACCTCTGATCATTAGGGATGAAATTCTCATAAAGAGTATGCAAGCTAGATCCCTCACATGCACAGTTCATAATAGTGTTCACACTAGTATGAGAATCTAATACTGTAGCTGATCTGACAGGAGGTGAAGCTCAGCTTTAAATACAGATGAAGTGTCACTGGCTCACCAAAATTGATCTGAGGCCAGGGATTGAGGACCCCTATTCTGGAGAACTTCCTAAGTCTCATTTCCACATGTAATGTATAGTCTTTGTTTCTTTTTTGGGGGAGGATGTCTTGAGTATCAAAACCAGGGCTGGGAAAGTGCCCTACCACTAAGCTACACTTCCAGCCCTAGTCTTTGTTTCTCAATAGTTGGCTTATCATATCACAAAGACTCTTTTCTTGACCAAGCGTTAGCCCTTTTGTGCTCTTCCTTGTAAAATACAGTTTCAGTAAGTAGCCAGGTCAGTTAGCAAGAGCCCCCACCCTCCACATCTCATCACCCTCAATATCTGATTTGGTTCCTCATCCTCTACCACCACTTGGTGATATCTGATCACCCTGGCCTGTTTTCAGCAAGCGTCCTATGTGGTTGGTGGATTTAAACCTCAATCTTCCTCACTCCTGATGTTTCTTCTTAGTAATTTTCCATCCATTGACCACACTCTTGCCCTGTTATACTTGGAGTTGAGCCCAGTCTTCCCTGCTATTGCAAGAATCTGTTGCCATGGTTTTATACCTGTTATGATGGTCCTGAGTAAAATCTGTCTTACCATGCTTAATAGGAGAAGTTGGATCTTTTCTTCTTTAACACATATTTAATTAAATGGAATTTTTGGCACAGTTAGTGTCCAATTATAATCTGGTAAGAAAAATGATGGATTCTTATTGCAGCTATATAAATAACCCACTTAATCATACCCATTAATTCCATCTAGAAGTGGATAATATATAGCAATGTATCTGGTCAGATTCCACCCCCCTTGGATTTATAAACAGGATATTTGGTCATAAAAAGTAAGTGAACTTGTAAAACTTTGCTATCATTGTTTTGTATACAAGGCTGATCAACCCATGTCACCATAATCTACATAACTATTTTTCTGAAATTGTTGTGATGGTACATTGGTTTATAGTTAATACTAAGATCTTGCATGGAATGTTGTTTCTTTGAAAATTTTAAGTTCAGTTGGGATGCAATGACATTTAAAGAGAGTTTCGACATTTAAAGAGAGTTTCAGCTAAAAATATAAAAATACATGCTGCATTTGAAGATGGAACAGAAAAAGGTAAAATATTTTATTAATATTTTTTAGATTATAATGTTAATCTTGTGCTTATATTAGGTTAAATAAACTATATTATTAAAACTTAAAAGGAGTGCTTTATTCCTGTTCATGTAGATATAATCTGTTAAATTGAGGATGAGGGATAGATTAAATAGAAAAGTTTTCTTATGTCAATTAAAGTAAAATATGAATCATAATGAAATCAGTTCATTTTATCCATTTAGTCATCAGCAATTAATTATTGTTCTGTTGATCTTGGGTTAAGTATTCTAGTTCTGCAAAGTTATAAACATTTTTTATCAATTTCTTGCTCTACTCTGTCCTTGTAGCAGGAAAGTACTTATTGATGATAGTGACCCAGTGATCATGACTGTGTCCAATAAAACTTTATTGACAGTTGAGTTTGTCCTGAGGAGGCATAGTTTGACAACTTTTGTGCTAGAATCTAGACAAGATCTAAAGGTTTTGACTTGGCCACTTGGTCCAATCAGCTGATACAGGGAAGCTTGTGCCGTGAGAGTGTATCCTGAGATACAAATAGTTGAGATATCAGGTTCAGTTCTTTATTAACACTGCTTCGTTATTTCTTCCTGAAGACTGAATTCCTGATCTTTAGTGTGGCAGGGAACTTTAGTATATACAAGGAGAATGGAAATATCACTGGTGCCTAACAAGATTAAGTGGTTCTGGTTAGTCAACAAGAAAGGTGGAAAATGGAGTCTTTTATTAAGATATAATATGCAGTCAATTTGTGTGAGGAAACGAGGACATTGACAAATCTCCAGAGCCTTTATTGTACCCAGAAAGTAAGAATTCAACCAATTGACAGTGTTATTTAAACCTAGAAGCAAAATGTAAAATAAATGAGCATGGTAGAAATTATTATGTCAGTCTTTGTACACGAACATTGGAATGTTCCTTTTCAAAGCAAAATGTATGATCATTTTCAATAGAATCATTGAGATACTTAAATTAATACATTTTACTTATAAAACAGTCAAACTAGATGTTTCTTCTTGACAAGTAGAAAAAAATAAGATGGCTCTTACAATTGTTCTGAGCTGATCAACTATTTGAAGATTGTCAAAGATAATACTTATTTTTAAATATGTCTCTTTTTATAAGGTAAAAGAATAAATCTTTATGTTACCTAGGGCCATCTGAAAAATGTGTAATGGCTATGGATGTTGTTAGTAGTAGAGCATTTAGCTAGCATGCTCTAGGCCCTTGGTTTAATACCCAGTACTATAAAATAAATATCACAACATAATGTAACAATATAACATACATAACATACCATACTATACCATACCATACCATAACACTTCTACAGATAGTTTGTTATAAAAAAATCTAAAAGTTATACTAATTAATGCTATTATGTGGAACATGAATTTGGGCAAGGTAAACTGAGTTAGAAGAAGATTCAAGGTACACACATGCATGTATTGAAAGGCAAAAAATAGTTATATTTAAAAGACACACACCGGTAAATAGTAGTAATAGTTTGTAGAAACATTAAATTTGCTAAAAAAAAAAAAAAAAAAGAGGAAAATTTAAATGTAAAAATGTTCCCAAAGCTTAGAGAATTAATATAAATCAGATTTTTAAATTTAGAGATCTTTTTGGTACTGGGAATTGAACTCAGGACCCTGAGCTTACTAGGTAGGCACTTGTGCTACTGAGCACAAGCCCAAGATTTTAAAATTTAATAGCTGGCAGTGGTGGTATATGCTTGTAATCTCCACACTTGGAAGACTGAGTCAGGAGGATTGCCTTGAGTTTGAGGTCAATCTAGGCTACATAGTGAGACCCTGTCTCAAAGAAAAATTTAATAGAATAAGCTCCTGTTCCAAGTGGTTATTTCCCCCCTAAAAACAGTATTACCATTTAAGCATTTACATAAATGTAAAAAATCAAAAATTTCTAAAACATTCTTTAATACTTTAAATCTGTTAACTCAGATTTTTTTTTCTTATTAAAATTAAAATTCAGAGAAAAAATAAATAAAGCTTTTGACTGTGGGTTTCATTAATGACTCTGATTACCAGGTTACATAATAAGAGAGAATATGAGTGTCAAACAACTTGAAAGTTTTAATATCCAATATCTAATTGTACAGGAAGAAAATTTTACATAATGTTCCTACTCAAGGTGACATGACTCTTTGGAAAAATTAAACTGATAATTTTGGTTTAAAAGCAACTCTGGCTTCTTCCTGATTTGGGTACCATTGTAAAAATAATCCCAGCATAATATTCTAGTTTTACAACTCTTGGGCTTATTTTCTCGTGAAAAGCGCAATTAATTTGAATTGTCTTCTATAATTTTTTTTGCCAATCAGCTAAACTAACACTAATTTAGTTGAGATTATAAAGTTACACAACAAACTATTCAACTACAGTAATATTATAACCATTATCCTTACAAAGAGAGATTTTTTTATAAAACTAAAAATCACAGAATTAATAGGTCAAATGAAAATTTTAATTTCCAGATCATAGTTGAAGTTAAACTAATATTAATTTGTATGTATAGTGTTATGGTTGAAACATTGTGTCAACTTGGGGAGTCTAGAGGTTTGGCTAAGTAACT